CGATTAAGAACGATTAATGAGAATAGAAGTTAATTGCTTAAAATTTCGAATACCCACCACACAATCTCTTGACTGTATCGAGTGATTATTCAATAAACCAACAACAAGGAAGGAAAAGAGGCTTCAAAACTTTCGAGTTATCGAATATTTGTATGTTGGGCCAAGTCGTAAATGGGAAAATGCTCCCAGACAAGGAGAGTTACTGACACTCTTTGAAATTCAATTGCTTTGACGTGGATTAATTTCTTTTGTCTGCGTGAGAGTTTGTCTGGCAGTGTGATTGTCTGAAGGTCCAAAACTTTATTAATAATGAATGGCACTTGACACTCACTTTCAGTATCAATTATTCAGCTGAATTTTCAAATATATTTCAATAGTCCAAACTTCTGTTGAGAGTGGACAAAAAATGGTTTTTGCATCTTTTTGACGCATTAATGAAATAATAATGGGTACTCTCAGTCAGACAGTGGTAATAAGTAGCTCGCCTTGTAGAATATGTAATTGGTGAGTGAGCCGAGTTATGGATCTCGTGAGAAACTCATGAAGTAATCGATCATATTCTGTAATCTACAATACACGTTATGCAACGTGATTTGGCATGTCACCCATAATTTTGCAATAACCATTGAAGATAAAAGCTAAGATCTACGTTATCAAAAATCTCCCAATTATTTATGTCGGTAGCAATAATTACTTACAAGGAAAACGGGACCCTGTTTCATAAAGAGAGAGAGACTTGATCTTAAATTGAAATTGATCGTTAGTGTCCAAACTATTAATTTGTTTCACCAATCCACATTTTTCTCCGATTCTGATTGACAGTCACGTAACTTGGAGCCAAGCCCATCCGTCAACATTAATATCGTTGGGGTAGCAGTGGTAGTGAAAGGGTAGCAGTTATTTATTTATCATGCTGTGCATATGCGAAGAACGAAATTGAGATTGAATATCGAATGGTTATAATTTATTGGGAGACGCTTTGTTTGCTGAGCATTGACTACCAATTACAGAAGTCATGCATCAATCTGCACCACCGCTGCACAAAGTAAATAAAGAACACGAAAGGAAAACTGAAATTGAATCCGTGCATCTCGTCTCGTCTTCAAGGGTCAGGAACAAATTTGTTGCTTGTGATATTTGTCTCCTTTTATGAATGGCCATTGTATGGCAGCGGTACTTACACCGCAACTCTGTCTGTCTGTGGCTGTTGCTAGGAATGATGGATGTCGATGAGTTCCTGATAAATTGGTACTGAATTTGGTCTCAGTCTAGGTTGGGAGACACCGCCATCGTCGTCAGAAGGCTTGCAATTCGATATCCAACTTTCAACGCAAAGGTTAAAAGTGATAATGAGCCGCGGATTGCGTTGCATTTATTTTAGCAGCGACTGTTTTATTATCTAAGCCGAGCTAAATATATGATTTGAAACCTGACTTGATTTCGTTTTCATTTGTTTATTTGTTTGTTTTTTGACGAGGAAAGAAATCATTAGTGGTGCGTTTCATACGTGTTTTACATAGTTTGGTTGGTTTCACTTTGACAAGATGGATGGGTTTGCCCTGAAGTGTGAAGTTTCAACAAAGTAATGCACAAACGATTGCTTTCAGGAAAAAATGATAAAGTGCAAGCGGAATGAAATCAATTATAACAATTGCAAGGTTTTCCGAGTAATTTTGGGTGTAAGGATGTTCCACCTTCGATATATTTATTTGATAACTTCGACATTTTAGTTTTCCATAATACGTTACACGAAAGAAAGAATAGGAAATGTTACATTGATTTTGTAAATTTAGATTTGAGAACGAATTTTGGGTGGTAGGGAAGGAACAAGGGGTTGGGTTTTGGTGGTTTGAGTCTGATGGAGGTGGTGATTTATTGGTATGAGAATTCATGCAATTCCTTTCTTGATTTTTAAGACTTTAGACGAATCGTGAAGAAAAAGGTCTGTTGTTTTGTTCAAAGCGCATTTGTCGATCCCTAACGGTGCTTGTAATGGTGGTACAAATAGCCATTTGTTTCATCAAAAAAAGATTCAAACCTTTTGTTCACTCCAGTCACAGGTTTTTTAAAGGATGAAACAAAGTTATGGGAAAAGTTGAAAATCTTGATAAGTGAGATAAGTCTGGCCGTATCATCTCCCACGAATTTATTTGGATAAATTATGACACTGGTGAAGATTCAAGTCAGTGAAAGGACAAAAATGGGAAAAAGGTTTTCTGGATAGACAGTCGAGCACCCATTTAAGAAACATTCAAGAGATGTATTACATACTCCGTACCTTAAAATAATGTGGCAAGTTCATCGTTCAGTTTCCAGGAAAGAAAGAGTCAACTGGTTTAAGTTGAAGTTTTGAAAGATTGAGAGTTTTAAAGTTTTGGACTGGTGTGGTTGTACATGGGAAGAGCGGTGATGGGGCATATACGAGGGTGGTGCATAAATGGGAAGGGTTAGAATTTTTACGAGTGTCATAATGTCTTGTGCTGGGCCCCTTCTGGTGGAAACAAACATCATTTTACTCTCAGCTTCACGTAATGACTTGGACCCCTCCGTGCCCGCTCCGTCCACAATTACCGTTTCCGTTATTTTAGGTTATGTAACATTTCAATATGCTCGTTTCATGTGACAATACTGGTTTTGTCTCAGTCAGTTAACTTGTTTCTCAATTGTACGTCAAGTAGCACTGCTTCCAGCAAAACTGAGTTGTTGTAATGATCCACAACTCTGTCACCGGTTTGTTGTTTCTCCAACAACTTTTACACATGTGACAGATCTGCTTTGTGGCTCGCTGGCTGGTTGGCACTTTCGGTTCAGTATGAATTTGTAAGGAAGGAAGGAAGTGACAATAATAATGTTTTGAATGTTTCGAATTTCAATTCTCTCTGGGATTTATGTAAATGAATGGGGTGGCTATAACGCTGGGGTTCACTTATTCCGTTGTGCTTAAGGTGCTATGCTACTAAATTGCATTTATGATCTCATCTGCCCTGCACTTTGCTGCCTTATGCTTGCATACATACATACGTACCCATACGTACTTATCCCGCATATTGTTCCCTGAGTCCATGTCGGCAAAATTAACCACAACATTGAAGTGTGAATACAATGGTGCACGCGTTGAACCACAAGATTAAAAGCAAAGTGCGGTTGGTTTTTGCTGAACGCTTAATTGTGTTGATCCGTAAATAGGATGCACATTGAAAATGAATGCATTCACACAATTGACTGTAATGCATGTGTGCATTACAGTTATGAGGAAGGCTCTGAAGAGGAGTCGTCGAGCTTATGGATTTAGAATCTGTAAACTGGAGGCATTGTGAAGAAGAGAATGTGCTTCACAGTCGTTGTCAGTGCGGCATGTGATTTATTTGTGCAGCGGGATAATGCGACGGGATGCATACGAATTCTGGGGATGAAATGAGGTAGGACATGGACGCAATGCTTGAATTTTTCTAGATGGATGTGGTTCGTTTGGTGAATCCTTTCCCGACGATTCAAAACCTTAACCTCGGCTGCTCATATCCATCATTTACACGCAATGCACGTGTCACTATCATGTTGACTCTCTCAGAAATTCGTCTCGGATGCGTTTATATATATTAAGGACGTAGATAAACTGGCCCACTGTTGTCTGTTGGGTGAGAAATAAATAAAAAAAAATTGCTGGAATAATAACACCAGTGCGTGTCCCCTACTGTGATTTCAACTGTACGCGTTATAAAAAGAGAGTGGGAGTCCTAAGTTAAAAAAAGGTCTCAAAGAAGAACAAGAATTTGAAATGAAACTTCAATTTTTCACGGTTTCAGTCACACTAATTCTTCTTGTGTCTGCTGGAGACAAAGAATCATTCATTATTAAACGGGGTATGATGCGACCTTTTTTATAAACTTAGATCATTTTATACACTTTTGCCCAGCACATTTTATTGAGTGAGGAATGCATTGAGGAATGTTTAATTATTATACATATGTATGCATCCATTAGAGTAAACTACACGAAAACCTATGTGAAAAACTCTTCAAAATTTATTGTGCAATATATGGATTCACTTTCCCTCAATCTGTCAAAAACATTATTTAGTTTGTCCTGTCGAACAACCCCTTTGTAAAAGATGAAGTGCTTCTGATATGATCCTGATGCTGCCAAATCTGTAATTTGGGAAATTGAATTCAATGGGATTTGTTAGTCCTCGTCTCAAGGGTGTCATTTCAAGTTTGGAAACTCGTCTGTCCGATATATTTCTATATGAATAAATCTGCGCGAGTTGCCTTCATTTCTTTCATATAAAATCCCATTGTGTGGTTCGCCTTATCTCGTTTGCAGATATTTGAAATGGAATAAGAAATTCTATGAATACTAAACGAACAGACGCTCCAGCCGCCAGTAGATAACTCGATATTCATAGGCACACAGAATTAAATGCGACTTTGCTTCATCCCTTATTCGTTACTCCTTGTACGTACGGTACCGTGGAATTTGATTGCATTTGGTTTGGGCGAGATACAGTAAATCATCACACCAGACTTGCTTCCATTGTCATTCGTCCCTTATTATTCTTGGTTGGATTGCGTGAGGAACGTACAATTTCAAACTAATTCAGTATGGCTTCCACGCATCAATGTATGTATCGAGCAGTCAATTTGTGGTTTCATGTTCTTGATATCGTGTCATTATTCCTTTGTTTGAGTCTCGTGATTAGATTTTTTACGATGGCACAAATCATTATTTGCATCATCAAACCAAACCACAAAGGACTTCTTCAACAACGGCCAGACAAAACATGGAATATGAAAAACAACATCGTAATAATCAGCGAGTTTCATTAACATAAAAGTTTACATTGAATTAACATAAAACCATAAATACATAGTCCTAATTGCAACATGATTACTGCCTACGTACATATTTACTTATATGTTCTGGTCACTAATCATGTCCATCCATATGCTGCATGTGCTGCCTAATTAAACTAAAACTGACTGATGGGTTTCTTTCACTTTCAGGGTTACCTAAATTACTGGACAATTCAGCAAGAAGAGGCCTTGGCCTTGGACGATATCAAAGAACTCTTCAGCAACATTGAGGAAATTTACGATTTTAACAGGTAAAAATCTAACATTATAAAATTCATGATATTAGTACTAGACTTGAACTAATTAATTTATAAACAAATTATGAAAAATCGTAACATGTATTTAAATATGTTCTTGTTGTTTTTTTTCAGTGAATTTTTAGAACGATTAGAAGTCTGTGGTCTCAACCCGGTGGAAGTTGCAAAGTGCTTTGTGACCAAGAATGAAGGTTTCTCAATCTACACTCAATACTGCACTAATTATCCTCGGTAAGAAGTTCATTATTTATCCGTTTCCTTTCTCCTGAGACTACAACTACGTAATAAATGTTAGTACCCACGCCGATGGCATTGGAGGAATATTTAATTGTGGATTTTTATTTGTTTTTAACACCCTGGACTAACCACCACCTACACAGAGGGTGCTCAAATAATTGCGGAATTTTCATCTCGAGATTATTATTTAATTTAAAAAGATTGCGGAGATTAACGGAATTCGTTCGTTAGACGAGACTCATGGACACACATTTGAATGCAGACTCCCCAAACAGATTTCCTGATTACTTCCCTTCACTCTCATCTCACGAAGACAGATTCACATTGCATTTCTTCTGACAGGATTTTGCATCAAGTTGCATTTGAGAATAAACCGTAGTTAATTTTTGTAGCCAGGATTGGCATAACATGAAAATATTCCTTCTCGTGAAATAAATGGCGTGCAAATTCAATGTCAATCTAGAAATGTTATTGCATTGTTGTGCTCAACCACCCAGAAACACTTGTTCCGCCACCTTCACTCTCTTGCCAAGTTTTTGCATCATGTTGCATAATCTGGCAAGAAGTGCATACTTGCTTATCAAATGCAATAATGCATAACAATAACTTGGTGAAGTTGGAAGAAGATTTCACGACGAGGAGAAACTGTAAATGTTACGCTGTTAATCTGAAGAGCTTGTTATTATCTTACGAGCTGCAAATGTCGTGATTTTTTGCCCATGCGAACATTGTAATTAGTCAAAGAAACCGATGGGTCTGTACGAACATGGACATACGAAAAATAATTTGCAAGGTGAAAAACCATGCTAGCTCGTTTACAGGTTGTTGTGTGGTGTAGCAGTAGCAGTGTTGTGTAGTTAAATAATTACACAGGTTCATATACTAACTACTACTAGGTACATACTATGTATGTATTCAAGGAATATTTGAATATGTTTACAATGCAGAGGAATTCGCGAGGTTGTTGCCTCATTTCAAATTGTTTTGAGTAACTCTGCTGCACTAAACTTGCATTCTTTGCATGACTTTTAGATGAAATGATTAATCACCATAATTTGCACCAGCAAGTTTTAAGTTCAATTTCATCTTAATGCGAATTTTCTTATTGTAAAGCATTTTGATAATCTTATTTTCATTGTTGGATGAAATGGAACGATTGCAGCAGGATACCAAGAGGGGTTTTGTGTTTGGTCTTATTGTGCTTTTTGCAAGGAAATGCTCTGTGCAAAATATTATTGTGCGTATTACTTCAGACAGCCAATCTTTTTGGAGGTGAGACGATTCAGGATGAGAATGAGATTGCAAATTCGGATGCCGACTGGGCTTTGTTCACTTTTTAGAGCTTCGTGGCAGTGACCTAGGCTGGAGTTGCCAAAATACCAAAAAACCCAGCGTCTGTAATAATAAGTTAATACACACATACAGAAAATAGAGTGCTCAAATTCCCGTCTTAACTTATTTAAATTTTAAGCATGCATAATGATAATTTTTTTAAGTTTCCTGACAAATTGTGCCGTATTTTTGCAGAATTTGTGTACGAAGTATGAAACGAAGGACGAAAGTTAAGTTTCTAATGTTGGCAAATTCAAGCGAAATGCTTCATCCTTTTTCAACCCATAGGAAATGAATTCCAAATTTATTTGCAAGTTCATTTCCTTTTACAATGAAACCGACAAAAATTTGTTTTTTCCTTCATACTGGCAAAATTATAAAATGGCGTTACATAAATAACTACTTGATAATACATTTACTTTCCAGAGGACCATCCAAATTTCGTTTGAGCAATGTAATGCAGTGAAAGTTAGTTTTTAAGGTAGGGGAGGAATACGCATCCTTTTGTCAGTCACCACCAATTTATTTTCCGATTTGTTGGAGTGGAGCGTATTAAGGAAGACAAAGTGCTGCATCGATCGTGTGTTCTATTAAATAATGCTCACTGAAAGATTATCCAGTTGCAGTAATTTTGTTTCATACTTTCCAACGATTATGTACTTTTCACCAAGAGTGCTCCGTGTAAATAAACAGCAAATGGGAGTTCTGCAACGACATGATCCCATTTATAATAACTTGACGATCTTTGTTCTATTTTCGTTTTGGTTCAACTCATTCAGCTCTTCTGTCCCCACCACCCGGTGAAAGCGTTAAATTTACCTGGTTCAGTGTTAAAATCATCGCCACATGTTCCTTTATGGGTTGCATATAATGAGCCTCAGAAAGAGCGACGGGTTTAATGAGAGAGTTGATTGCTTTTCAGTGTTCAGATGGAATTTTGTGAGGCAGACATCATTCGGGGCCAGACACCCCATCGAGAGGGGGATGGATTTTTTTTTAATTTCAAAATTTAGTCCTTGGTGCTCTTTGTATCACATATCCCTGCGTTCTCAGCCTTTAGAGGTTGTTAGAGCCGGCGATTTTCCACCTTAACAGCATCAGCCAGCACCACACTGAACCGCAGCGAGTAAAGTATCAAATTATCAAAGAGAAATGTCGCTTGTAATGAAAAGGGTTGTTTTAGGAGGCGAGATCTGCCTCTTTGGCGTGGGAGAACCGTCTTCATAATAATAATTACGAGGATAATGTCTGCCTGGTTTTTCGATAATTTGAGACTGAGGATAAGCCTGGAAATTGGGGGCGCATAGTCGTAAACACTTTCTAAGTAATGGTTGCTGGATGCATAGTTTCATGAAGGTGACGGAAATGGGTAACTAAATGGAGTTTATAGCGTTTGAAAGGCAATAGTGTTACGTCAAAGTAGACACGTTTGTCGGTGGGGTGGCAGTTAAGATAAGGTCGAATTGTTGGGCTGGATATGTAAATAATGGGCAATAGGTTAACGTGCTCGTCATACATGCATAAAAACATACACACGTAGAGATTTAGAGGTGTTGCTTCACACACTTAAAAAATACTTATGACTTGTTGGCATCCACCATTTATTCAATTCAAAGCATACCAGCATAATAATTGAGAATAATTTAAATTGTTTTTTACGTCGTCTTCTAAAACCAAACCTACGATGATGCAAACATTTTACAATGCTCAAAAAAGAACCCAAACATTTACGTTCCCAAGCATTTTCATCGTCACGAAAGAAACTTGCACTTTCTTTCCGCAGGAAAAAGTTCCACTCATCATTAATCTTTGCGAGGAGGACGCACCCTTGAGAGACGGAGAGCACCGTCGCATCTACCGCAGACAACGAGACAAGTACTTTAGTTTTAAAGATACATCATTATTTCACGATGTGCAGGGGAACTGAAACTCGACTACTAAACTGTTATCGTCTTCTTAATTGTATTGTCATGCTCATTGTCTGGCTGTCATATTTCTAAATCGGAAATGTTAAATTGAAATTTTAACTGCAATCTGTGTCACTTAACTCGAGACTCGTGGCAAAGTGAAATCCATCTCCCATTTGCCTCTTGTTTGCTAATGTTCCTTCGAAATGTTTATATGTAGCAGATGAGACGAGAGACACAAGTTTCACGTTTTTTCCATCCACGCAGCAAATACTTATTGCATGAGCTTTAAATTATGCTTATAATGTCTCCCTAACAAAGCAAAGACCACAAAAATATGTAAATAGTATTTGCTGCTTATTTGTTTATCGCATCCTGAAAAGAGATTAATGGTTATCAAATTTAATCTTAATATTTTGGCCCAGATTCAAAAATAGATAATTAAAAAACAACGAATCATCGAATGCCGTGTCCCCCGAAACGATATTATAATTAAGCATAGTCATTGTTAAAAAGTGGGGTTAAAACTTTGAAATTCGATATAAATGATGATATTCCAATTTTTTTGCAGGACAATGTCACTCCTAACGGAGATGATGCGGCATTCAAGCAAGTTATTCCGAGAGCGTCAGTCCGTGATGGGTCATTCATTGCCATTGGGGTCCTACCTCCTAAAACCTGTTCAACGGATTTTAAAATACCATCTCCTACTTCAGGTAATAAGTCGAATGTGCGGTTTTCACATTGTTAACATTGCACACAAAATAATAATTTACTCACAGCCGAGTATGTAAGCTTTAGCCATTCATCTCGTCACTCACTCAGTCAGTCAGTCACGTCGTCATCAAAGCAAATATCCCATTAGCCAAACAACATAAGTACATATCGTCTCCTGAACTCAACTTGTGTAGCTCGCAGCCTTTGTCAAGACCGAATTGCCTAAATTTAAATTCATAAAAGAACGCACACATTCTACTCGCACATGTGTACGCATGCTAACATTTATGGTAAAAAACCAGAGATGATGAGCGGAAACACGAAAAAGTTAATGCAGCTAATGACCATCTAACCACCCCTTTGACTGCCAACAAGCATCGTAACATGGTTCTGTTGAATTAACGGGGCGATGATGGTGGGTCACACATAACATTTGAACGTTGGGTGTCATGTCGCGAGTTAGCTGGGCGGTGAACAACAATCAGTGTTTTGAATTGGGCTTAAATTATGAACCAAAATTATAGACTTGACATTGCAGATATTCTCGAATAGCCAACTATCCTCCTCATTTTTTAAATTCTTTATCAACCAGAACAGGCCAGTCACGTTTTTGCCATGTACACATTTAAATAAATGAACAAGCTACGCGCTTGTTAAGAGCTAAATCTAAATGACAAAAAAACTACCAAATAAAATATTGAATGTCACTGCTTGCTTATCAAGTCTTGTCTTTATCATGATCATCGTCATGTGCATGCTGCTGAGGAAGAATGAGTGTAACTCTTCACGGCAATGTCATCTCTGATTTGGATACCACTGTGATAAAGTGGACCATTAACAATAACCCTGCGTAAAATTGGGGTCTTCCACTTACTTAGCTATGCATAAGGATTGAGTTTTTCCTTTATTTATGCTCACAGTGTGGATTGATTCCAAAATTGGATATGAAAAAGACAGGAGACGGACAAAGTCTCATCTTCAGTCTCATCTTTAATGAATGATGATGCGTGATTTTGTGAATGGCCGTTGGGGTTTGGATGTCAGTCAGTGGGTAGAAAAATGTTTTGGAATGATGTGACGACAGGTAGGATGCCTGTTCAGATGCCTTGATGATGAAGCTCTGAACGAGAAGAGGCTCCTTGTAGGAGAAGAGCGGAGAAAGAAATCACTACCATAAAATGACAGTGTTAAGTTCTGGGTCGGTCCGTAAGTCAATGCAAGTCGCCCCGTAGAGGAGACAAAGAAGGAAGCGGAGCAAACACTGCATGCATGAATGCATGAACTGCTACCCCATACATACATCAACTGATCAATAGTGGTTATCATGATAAGTGATCGTGATAAACACTATTAATTAATTATTTTAGTTTGAGAAACTCCACCCACAGCGAGTGGCATATCAATTCGAATGTATTTTTGACGCTGAATCCAACGCCATTAATGGTTTTGACCTCCGAGGCCCCCGTGACCTTCCCGTGACCGTGGCAGCCAAATATGGCTTATTCGTGATGTCGCATATCAATTCGAATGTATTTTTGACGCTGAATCCGAATCCGTCAATAGTTTGACGTTAATTATAGAAGTTGGGGTTTATGGAACTGAACGGGAGCGTGAAGCGCGGGAATATAAATAGTTAGCTATGCAGTTACTCCCACACGACGGGAATTTAAGTAATTAGCTATTCAACTACTCCCACAGGGGGAAATCAAATTGTACTGTGACCAGGTTAATTAAAATGCAGTATGACTGGGGCAAACCCTCACTCTGATGTATGTATGTAGTACGACGAAGTCTCCACTGGGAATTATTTAAAGTATAGCATGACGGATTTTTCGCTTTGGGCACACCCCCACTGGAACTCTAGAACCCGGCCTTGGCCGGGCTATACGCTAGTAGCCTTTAAATTACGACGAATCTCCGATTAACTTCAAGAACATTTTTTATGACATGTTTTCGAAATGGGTTACAGAATATCGTGAAGCACTACGAGCCTGGGACGGAGGGACATGAAACGATTGTGGAAGCCCTCTCCGCCATGACGAACATTGCAGTGAGAATAATTAATATAATTATCATTATACTTCTTATCATATTATATCATAATTGATGTTTTATTTTTAGCACCACATCAACGATATGAAGAGAAAACATGAGCACGCCGTAAGGGTCCAGGAAATCCAATCGCTCTTGTACGGATGGCAGGTAAGCAACAACCGCAAATGGAATTTCTAACAAAAACCCAGCTCAAAGTGGTTCCACTGACTTCTTTTACTATCTATTTATACGCCTTAAGTGCTTGTATGTTAATAAGTAAAATATGATTTATAAATATTCTTTGAATTTCACTTTTCATCATCATGTCATGTCTTGAGGCTCGCTACATCTCATCTTCGTGTCTGAATAAATTTGTTAAAATTGATACGACTGACGAGACGACGGGAGAACATTTTTCAGGCAACTGTATAGTGGTCCTGGTCAGTCGAACCCAGGATGAGTGGTCATTGTGTGACTTGAGGAGATCAGCAGATATAAATAAATACTTGGATAGCGTGATTATTGTAACAACCACAACTACCAAAAGTTGGTCGTGTCAAATTTCAGAGATCAAATTCACTTTCGTGCTCAAGACTGTGTTCCCATTTATTTATAAACGGTGGCGGTGATGAGATTACAAACATAAGCGTTGGTCACTCACTCTGCTGGACATTCTACTTTGACACAGAAATAAATTTACATTTCTCGCACTTGCCTTGATGACAGAACCAATCCTTCTTTTGCATCCACAGTTTATCAAATATAAGCGCTTGGATTTAATTTTGATGGGTCTTTTTTATTATTCATACGCATATTTCATGGATGGTGTGATGAAGATGGAAAGATTTCTGTTGAAAGGGTGAAACAAATCCGGCAAGAAATGAGGAGTGGCGGTGGTAAAATTATTTCCTGAGCTCCCTTGGACAGAGGAATTCAAATTCCAAATTACATTTGCATCACCAGAATATTTACTTCACTCATCATCTTTCGTATGTATGTACTAGTGTTAACACCACTCAACCCTTTTGTTCCTCTGAACGCCGCGGTAATGGACTTGTAATGTTTTAAAAGCCTTGCGACGCATACACTGAAGCAATTAGTGGAATAAATAGATTTGCCTGAAATTCCAAAGTCTTTAAAGGAAAAAAAGGATGAGCTGTCTTCAAAATTTTTGTAGGATTGAGTCATTTTCACATAAAATCTTCACCCCAGATGTAGTTTTCTGTAGCTGGTGACTAGTCAAATAGCTATGCGGTGAGAAAAGTCATAATGACGCTTTGTCTTTTCTCGCTACAAATCCCCGCGTCACATCTTATTCTTGTGGTCATAAAACCGTTGTCAAGAGTTTTAGTCTAATGGCTTATCAATATTGATATTAATCCCGTAGAGTGGCATAAACAGTTCCATTTATAAGAAAGGAGTATCACAAACAGTCAACTATATGCAAAACAACTTCAAGTTTTGGACATTGACCGTTATTTCGTAGTCAATGAATGTCCATAGATTGACGACATTTGACTCAAATTCTATACTTTCCGCTATACATGCAAGTTCATGAGTGGAGGCTTTCAGAAAGTTCACATTCAAAGTAATCGAGTTGATTAGGTTATTCGTTGCAGACAATGTGCAGTTTTTGTAGGGTCGGCCCATATTTTTCGTAGGATGAAATTGCACATTTCAATGAATTGAAATAATTGTACTATTTTCTCAATGCTTGTTGAGCGTAAATCTTGCACGATGGAAGACGTTCTAAAATTTACTATGTTACAGGGCGAGGATTTGACTACTTATGGAGAACTGTAAGTTTATAAACTGCATAATATTATCATATAACTCAATATTTACAAGGTCCGATCGACAAATCATCTCGGTTCGCATACTAAATACGAAATACAAAAAACGTCTTAAGTAGTTGCAAACCGAGGATTTGTCGGTTGCCCGAACATACATGTGAAATAAATATGTGCAGAATCCGTACACATTTGATAACCCGTTGATCCTTAATTATGCAGATGTGCAGAAGGAACATTTCGTGCTTTCGGCTGCAAAGCTCTCCGACATGTCTTCCTTTTCGACAAAATGGTTCTAATCACAAAGAAAAAAGAGGATGGGGTCTTATACCACAAAACCCATATCATGGTAAGCAACTTTCGCCGTGTTTTCCAGCAGGAGCCAAGTTGAATTTGCATTACCAGATCTTATTTATTGTCATGAAACTGAAATACGGGAGAGATATCACATCACCTTCGAATCTAAGAATTTGATAAGTTTTCAAATCAATTAAAGTTTCCTTTGAGCAAAATGCTATCAGGATGAAACTTCTGCCAAAGTTATGCCCCATGCAGTTCTACAAAGTTCTTTGTCTGTGTTCCCATCAGGCCAGATTTCTGATACTGCTCGGCACTCCACTCCAACGCCCAACCCTGAGATAAATGTCTCTTCTTTCCATCAACTGTCAATAAATTCATTTATTTTATCAAGTTTACTTAACTCGCTGTCAGGAAGGAGCCGCTATGTGTACGAGCATGTTCCTTCGGTAGTGGGTGGGCGAGTGGGTTGATGGTGCCAGCAAGTTCGCTTTAAGGAATAAACGCCAAATATCTATGTAGTAAGTATATATGACGAATCTGTAGAAAAAGTAGGAAGCTGATGCTGGTGGTTGTGGACGAAGAAGAAACATTTGATGATAACATTTTCACACAACAGCACAATTCCACACGGCAAACACAGCAAAGCTTTCAGTAGAAATAAATGAAGGGAGAAAATTGTAGAAGCTGCTGCAGCAGAAAACCGGCTGAATCTTATCAAAGTTTTTTTTTCTGCTGTCTGGCTGTGTGGCCGATACCCATTAATTCCAAGTTGTTCTCTCCCCTCCTCCTCCCACCATCACCGCAGAACCCTTGGTGGCAGTGTCAGACAGAGAGAGATACAGATTTCGCCCCAAACTGCAACTAGCCTCAATAAGTCCTATGTAATGAAAATAAGTACAAATAGTGCATAATAATGCTGGAAATGTAAATTCAAAGGATCCAAATATATGATAATGTGCGTGGATCACAATAATAATAACATGTTCCGTTGTACTTTTTCCTGTTGCAGTGTTCGAATCTGATGTTGATCGAAAGTGTCCCCGGGGAACCTTTAAGTTTTCACGTTATTCCCTTCGACAACCCGCGACTCCAGACTACCCTCCAGGTTCGTTCCCATTTCATGTACACTATTGTTTGGATATGCTTATCTCCACTGGAAAGGGAAAAAACTGATCTGAATTTATTGCGGGGCGGACATTCCACTCACTTTCTTTCTTGTGAGATGAGAAATGGGGTTGTAATCATGTTCTTGTTTGCATTCCTTATTATCTTGTGTCGTAAATCTGCTGGCCATCGTGCTCTCAAGAAATATGGGACATGCATAATACACATAATTACACCTTCTCTCATGTCATAAATATCCAGTTCATTACGTCAAGGATGAAAGGTTGTGAATGAGCTGACTATGTAAGCTTAGATTGTGACTCGTTAAATTCATTAGAGGAAATCCAGCGAATGTCTAACATTTGCATAATCACTTTTGAACAATGAGTTTATACCCTTTAATTTGTAATTTAGGCAAGGAACCTGGAACAGAAAAGAGAGTGGACATTGCTGTTGAAACGAGTCATCCTAGAAAATTATCACGCTGTGATTCCCTCACACGCCAGGTATATTTAGAACCAATAGCAAAAATTTGAATAATAATTAGTTGGTCAAATTATTAATTATTTGTCAACAGGCAACTTGTAATGGAACTAGGACAGCAGAGGCCCGAAGGTTAGTATCCACGCTTCTCTAATCTAATCTAATGTTAATGTGGGAGAGCTTGGGGAGCGTCCATAAATCACGTGATCGATTAGAGGGGGGGAGGGGGTCTGAAATTTGTCACCAATTATCACGGGGGGGGGGGGGGGTAGATGGTCAGATGTCACGTGACATGAGTATAGTTTTTAGCCCGAACCAGGGCTTATGTAATTGTCATGTCCGTCCGTCTTTCGATAACTCTCGAACGAGTTGACCGATTTGGACCAAATTTGGTACAAACATGTATCTGGGCAATACAACGACCGAGTTCGAAGATGGGTTCGATCAGAAAAGTTTTGGACCGGTGGGGGTCATATAAGTGGGTGGGGTATTATGCACCAAAATTTCAAAATTGTGATAGAGAGCTGAAATTTGGCATGGAGCGTGCTAATAGCTCATAAGGAAAGAATATGAAGTGAAATTAGAAAATTTTTCAACCGGAGGGACCCGAGGGGGTGACCCATACCGATTTTTTCAAAATCATCCAATCGAGCTGAAATTTGGCATTGAACGTGCTGATGGCTCCTAATGGAAGAATATGAAGTGAAATTGATAAAATTTTTGTATAGAGGGACCCTAAGGGGTGACCCATACCGAATTTTAGAAATGGTCGTAAAAAGCTGAAATTCGGCACGGTGATCCCTAATGGCTTGGTATGAAATAATATGAAGTCAAAAATGAACAAAAAGTAACCAGAGGGGCACTAGGGGTGACCCAAACCGATTTCCATAGAATTTAGGAGGATTGAATTTCTAAATTTTAAGAAACCTATAACAATAGTAGCAAAATAGTAGCACATGAACATAATTTTATAGATAATTCTGACAAACGTGAGTTTACTAAACATTCCTGGTTCGGGCTAAGCAAAGCTGTACTGATAGGTTTTTAACTTTTGTCTATGCCAATAAATGTCATGAGAGTTATATATAAACTCTATTGGCATACCTTACGCACGTTATATAAATTTCATTTTCATTTTGCATATTTAGAAACTTGCTTCGACTTAAATTCTTATGTCTGACTGGCGTACTAAATAGTTATTTACACATGTGTGTAATGTAGCTCTAATTTGATTAATGATTTAAAAAATATTGTTATTCCGGACAACATGATTTAATTTGAGCATCATCTCCTGTCACGTGACCGGTGGGGGGGGGGGGGGGTAGCGAAATTATCACCATCGGTCACCAAGAGGGGGGGAGGGGGTCAAAATTGTCCAAAAATCGATCACGTGATTTATGGACGCTCCCTTGCTTCAATCTACGACACACACACGCACTTGACGTGATGTACTTGTAATGATTTTGTTTAACACGTTTCCACGAGATCGTGGTTTGGTTTGTAACGATTAAATAAAGAACCTGGATGAATTCACAGCACTCCTTGAATCTCAGTTTTACAAGATTTACCTTTCAAAATAAATCAGCGTTACTACAACCTGAAACATCCAGCACTGGAGCTTCAATGAAATAAATTCCAAATCAGACTCTGTCAATCCCAAACCTCTGGTTTTAAGGAGAATATTATTCCGCAATTCGGGATTAAATGGAACTGGGGAAGAATACAAATTGCTTAATTTAAACGAATTCAACTCTTCTCCTTCTTCATCCCTGTCCAATTACCTTGTCTTTGATACGGTTGACAACGAAATGGATATGTGGCTGAAGAGGAGGGTTGGTACAAATGCACACTTTTTGTGTCGGTGGTTAAGAGGAAGGAAGGTTCTTTCTTTCTTTCTTTGTGAATGGATGTCTAGAATTATTAAACTATTACTTATCCCATTTTGCTTTTGTGTTTGCTAATGTGCAGCGGATGGAAACGTGGAGAAAGCGCCGACGAAACGGCAGCATTCAGCACCTGAGTACTTGGAGCGAAGAAAGCAGGGGAAATCTGAATCGAGTCTTAAAGCCAGGCTGAGGAAGGCTCGAAAAAGTGATATGATGAGCCCCAAAGAGGTACGTATTTCGATATCTGAGAAAATTGTTCGTCTCTTTTTTTACTCTAAAAGCCAACAGCGTACAATGATTTTGGCTTATCGTTCGTTCGTTCCCTACAAAATTTCCTTCAGATTCACCCTTCCTTCCTTTTCTCCCTTTCTCTTACCCTACCCAGCCCGACATGTTCAGATATGTCCACCCCACTCCCAACTTACTTTACGTATAGCGCCCACCACCCCAAGAACTGCACTTTCACTAAAACGCCGTCAAATGAGACCAAATGAAATCACAAGAATTTAATAATAAGGACCTGACAGGTCTTTTGTCGGTTTCATCAAACCAATACACTCCCCGAGTCAATATTGGGAAATAAATACGACAACTTTTTCCCGTTCTTCCTTTCCTGAGCTGATTTTTAGTTGAATTCGGTCTGATGAAAAGAGAATCCCAAAAATTATCGAGTAGATTTTGAAAAGCATGTCTCTCGATATTTACGAATGCCTCGGGAAAGGCAGAAATGAAATTCTGTCATTTTTCCGTCCTTTTCATTTATTATGAGAACTTTTGCCATTTCCCAAACTCTTGTCCCCACTTGACATCGGAATAATATCGTATTTATGTTGTGCCATTGTCTGTGTGTGGATGCATCACTAATGTCCATGTTTACTTAAGTCTGCTCTCTCCCTAATTGTGACAGAGTTTGGGTCGTCGGAGGAAGAATTCGACGGACAGTTCGAGGGAGCGGAGTGAAAGTCGAGACAGGGAGATTTCCATCGATCGGAAAATGAGCTCAGCTAGCTGCCCACCATCCTCCGCTGGGTCCGCCGAAAAGAAATTGGTATGCAATTAACCCCACAAATGTGCAATAATCAGAGATCCGTGATTAATGAATTTTTTTCTGGGATTAAGGATTAAGGATTAATGTTATTCCGGGATTAGATTAATCCGGGATTAATTAAATAATTCAATTTGGTGGGATTAAGGATTAAGGATTAATTCAAAATTCTCTGAGATTCGGGATTAAGGATTAAGGATTAATTCAAAATTCTCTGAGATTCGGGATTAAGGATTAAGGATTAACTAATCCTGATTAATTCTTGATTAAGGATTAATATTATTATTATATTACTCCATTTAATGCAGTTTAATTGTTTATTGTAGCACATAGGAATATTGAAACATCAAATACATACAAAACAGACAATGTATAGGACTTTTGCATGTCAAATGTGAAGTAAAATTTGATGTTGGCCTAATATTAACACCAATTATGGCACACATTGGTGCAAAAGCTATGCGCCTGGCCTATAAAGAGCCGCTGAATTTGTCAATTTGTTCGACATCAAACAATCTGCCGGTGAAGATGAACGGCAAATTTTTCAGCTCAGTCAGATCACTGTTAACCATGATTAACGACTGAATCAGTATTTTTACGGAAGCAACAATTTAAAGTTAAAGAATTCAACACATCTTAATTTCGGGAGAGGACAGTAGAAAGAGTGGAAAAATATCGTATGTTTGAGAATATGTAATGTTAGTGTTACTTCACTCCATTCTCAGTGATTATTCTCTTGCGAGACTTAATCCTAATCGTGATTAAGAATTAATAATTTGGATACGCTTTGTCGGGATTAAGGATTAAGGATTAATGGCGTGGAAATATTTCGTCGGGATTAATGATTAAGGATTAATTGCATACAATTTTTTGTCGGGATTAAGCATTAAGGATTATTAATCCTTAATCCCAATCCTTAATCCGTTAATCACGATTAATTAATCACGGATCTCTGGCAATAATATTAATGATGAAGAGGACCATTTCCCAAGAGTCCTTCCAACATGCAGTCTCGTATGCAATACATAAGATTCCATTTTGAATGCATAAAATTACTTGGAACCTTATAATGTTCATAAAAACTGTAATCACGTAAAGTGACGGACAGTCCTTAATTTTAAGCTGCCGTTGAATCATTTTTTTATATCGAGCATCGAAAAAGTGAAAAATATGCCAAACTGATGTTGGCATTTTGTGTCACAAGCAATCACTGTATCGATGGAGTTTCCTTCTCTTCATGAATCATCTCAACGGGGACTGGTCTCACTGGGCTTTGTAATTTGAGCGCATTAGGTCTTTATCAGTGGTCATTTCATGAGATGGAATTGGCCATTAAAATGAAGCCAGAGCATTGAGGCTCTTTTTCTAGGTACCCAGATGTTCAGGTCCATTTTATGTTTTGTTCGGTGATGAGATGAGGCAACAATTCCATAACCTGCAAATTGGCTAACTGCCCACACCACCATTTTATCAGTGATGAAACGAAACAATAAAAGTGAAAAAGACAATAAGGCGGATAAAACCATTTAATGTATTTTGCCTGGTGGACAATGATTCTGATAAGTTTTAAGTACTTGGGTTGAATTCATGACGAGTGGGAGTTATTTTGACATGCGTCCAACAGTTGCACGGGCTGATATATGCAAATACAAATAATAAATACTTTGAATTTTCTATACGTGATTGCTTAACCGGAACTGCGTAAGGAAATTTCTCTGTAATATAGCAGTGCACAAGTGAGAAAGGGTGAAAATCCAGTGACAAGAGTAGATCCTGAAACAGAGAAACTGACAAATAAAAATAAAACAACTTTTGCTCGCAGCCTGTGGTTTCCCTTTCATTTCTATTTTAATGCGCATTTACACACGAGATCTGTTTCTCGCGTTTGTTTGATGCTCAACTCTTGACGTGAAATTGCATACGAGACTGAAGCCCCACGGCAGGGCTTTCTGAAATGATGGATGAATAATGTATGATGAAAAATGTTTCTCCATTTAGGTGAAGAAGCTAAGTGGTTGGAGGAGGAAATCAGAGCCGGGTATCTACCACACTCACGAGTCGGGAAAATCGGGAGGAAAAGGGAACAGCGAATTGATGTCCCCAAGTCACCACGGAACGTCAAATTTGACCCTTGATTCCACCGAGAGCAGCATTGGGGAGGAAGACGGAGAGTATTTTGAGGAGGAAGACGAGGAAGAACCGTCCCAACTGGAGGGTGGAGAAGAAGAGTGTCTCCCAAGTGTGGAAGAGCGACGGGAATCCATCGAAGAAATTGTAGGGCAGCTGGTCATGCAAGTAAGTTTAATTTATTTAATTTGTTTATTATTTTACATCATCTATTCAGCACACGCAGAGATAACGACGACGACGCCTCTGCTGATTAGAGTTTATAAATGCTGGTCTATGTTTATGCTCGAATATCACTTTTAACTAAGATCTGCATATTCTTGAATTTCCAGAACCGAGAATTCCAGCGAATTTTGATGTCCAAAGAGGTATTTTGAAGTTTGAATAAATTACGGATTTTTCATTTACAAATAAACTGCATACAAAACTAAAAATAATTCCAACTCTTAGGTTCAACGAAAGAGGATAACTCACTTGAGGAAAGCATTGACACAATACCAACGAAGGCAGCTCCACGAGGAGGACGAAGGAGAGGAGAGTGAAGCCGAGACAGAGACGGAAGATCACCAAACATCCTCCCCCAACAAAAATACTAATCCAAAAGATGGGAAAAAGAGGGGCAACAACAACTCTTCTGGAAGTAATGCCAGCCAAGGTTCATCATCGAATGGAATCGGCTCTTCTTCAGACGTGGCTGAAATGAGCTCCGAAAATATCTGCATTGAACCGAATGACGACGTGGTCATGTCCACAGCAGCTACCTTGAAAAATGTGCAGCGAACTGTGTCAGATCCAGGAAACAAAGCCACACTCACCCCCAGACGCCATGGCCCATTCTCACATTACGACCCTCTCTCTCTCTTGTGGAGCAGTTTCAGACGAAGTGGTGACAATAATCGAGCCGGTAAACAACAGGGAGATTCTCCAGTGCTATTGAAATCCTCGTCCAAAGGGAAGACCAGCATCCGCCATACTCACTCCTTCAGTTGTTCGAGAAAAGAACCTCATCATCAAGGTGCGGATGAGACGATGAAGGACCCGTTGCCACTGCCACATGGAGATTCGGGCGTTTTCCCCAACTCATTCACCTCCGACTCCTCATCTTCTTCCGAAGCTAATATACCCACACTCCCCGCTGTATGGCTCAAACAGCATTTAGAAAATTTAGCCACACCCAACAACAAATCTGGTTCGTTGCCTCGCAGTTTCCAAGTTGGTCAGCAGCACACCCTTCCCTCTCCTCAGCCCACGAGAGATTCTCCCAATCCACAAACTCCCGATGAGATGACAAATTTCCTCTTCAAATCCCGACTACGTGACGGAAAGCTGGCGGACCGACCGATAACGATTGCATCTGACAAACCCTGCTCGTCTGACATTAATTACGACGAAATGGAACAGTACATGAATAAATTCAACAACCAGATTGGGAGAAGGTCGCCAAACTCTTGCTCTCTAAATGCTGAAGATTTAGTAGCAGACCTGACGCCCATGACATCCATGGAGAACATCAACAACCTTCACCCTGATCACAAGATTTATCGCTCTTCCAAATCCTCCATCAGGCACATGCTTTACAGCGTTACCCATCGCCTGTCAAGTCTCAAAGTTAATATGCTGACTGGTGGTGGTGGTGGGTCTGGCGTGGGGGGTTCAGCAAAGGAGAACATCAATTTTGGATCTTTCTCCAATATTTCCGCCACCTCAGACACGAGCTCTACAAAGACATCCACAACTCCAGAAAATAATAATGGGAGAAAGATGAGCAATGGAAATGGTCTGAAAAATCTCAACATGCTGCCTCGTAATTATAGGAAAGCCTTGAAGCAAAAGCTACGCAATATTGTGAAAGAAGATCGAGATTCCGATAGCGAGAACTGCTGCGAAAGTGTCACTTGCAGCTCTGGCTCGAGTGGTTTCGGAAGCATAGGGAGCTCTGAAAGTAGCAACAATCTCACATCAAAAATAGGAGCACGCCTAGCACACCAATCAAGTACGGAACAGTCTGATTACGCCTTATCGAAACTACTACTGAATGACGGACCTCTTCGCCCCCAATCAGTCATGTCCATCTCATCCACCGTCACCTCTGCCAGCTCAACGGACGAGAAAGCATCCTCTGGATTGGGAGAAAGTCTTTCCGGGAGTAATGGACACATTCCCGAAAGCTGTTGTGGGACACTCGATGGACTTGAGATGCATGATGGAGTTGCTAAAAGTCTGTACCGACCGAATCGAAAAGCAATAAATCACAAAGAACTTTACCTCAGCTATATCGATCAAGAAGTTGATGCACAGTCGGACTCGGACTCAGCCGACAGTTTTTACGAACGGTCATTTGAAGCCATTGAGACCTTGTTGGAGAGCGAATTGTTTCCGGATAGTGCAATTTACAGTGCGGAAGAGAATGCGTCCACAAATTCATCCATCCAAGGAAGTCAGTACAGCTCCAGTTGGGGATTGTCAAGCAGCTTTCAGGACAGTCTGGACTCTGCTTCAAAGTCACCCTCTCTCCGACACCCCTGTTTCTCCAACAACGCTCACCTAAATTCCATCTCCATGCTGGCCGCACGCCTAAGTAACTCCAGACTACCTCCCTCTCCGGTGCCAAATGATAATCACAACAGCCGACGCAGTAGTCGACTCATCAGGAGCCAAGCGATCCTCGACAAGCTCAAGCATTTGGAACAATGTTCGCAATTTCACCGTGAAGGTCTCCCCAGTCCATCCTTCGAAGGAATTAAATCAATCCAAGAGAGGCGGAACGAGCTGGAATTGTGGAAACAAGGTCGCATCAGTCGTGGAGAGGACGAATGTGAGACCTCCTCTCAGCACTCGACATCCACCATCAATACCGTAATTGAGCTGTCCCCCTCCAAGTCCACCAGCTTCCCGTCCAGCCGACGTTGCAGTGATACGGACTCCAGCGGTGGAAATTCCCCCCTCACTGAACGAGCAATTTCAAGAAATAGCATGTTGACCAGTCGCTGCGGGAGTGGAAATATCCAGACGAGCGGAAGTGGTGATCCGATGCCGAAAGGGTGGGTGCGACTGCTCGTAGGAAAACTTCAAAGCGCTGAAACCGAAGGGGTCGAATAAATTTGTAACCAAGGACCGCGTGACGTCGCAAACTCGAATTACCAACGAGTGCCTAAAACCATATAGTTTTTATGCGCGTGCATATTATTTATTATTTATTTAGGTGTGACCAATCTGACGCAATTATCTATTCACAAGTATTATTATCATTCTCTTGATACCGATAAGAGTTGATGTATTTATATTGATGAGTAGAAATCCAGCTTTACCATTTTCATACTATAATCCTATCTTACAATAATGTGCAAAAATACCCAACTTTGGCCAATCCTTTCAAGGGATCAGGCAACTTTAAAGTATTTCTCTCTACCTAAATTATTCTACTGCCAAACCTACATACATACATGTATATTTAGCTATGTATAACCTCCCAACCCACCTTTTGCACTACCAAGAATATGTTATTCACAAGCCTTGTGAATAAGTACATGCAAGATTTTTTTACCTTTTTGACTGTATTATTCATATTTACTAAAACTAACCCGACCACTTTTCATGGAAGACTGTCTCTTATTATTATGTAAAAGAAAGACTAATCACTCTTGTGCTATGTATATTCTCCAAAGATCCGTCGTCGCTATAATTTCCTACTACTTTTATAACCAATAATTATTTATCGTATCGCGTATCACCAATAAACAAGGACTTTGCTTCTGCACTTCTGCATTGTAGGTGTGCTAGCTTACATTGAGAGAGATGCATAATTGTCTTGATAAATTGTTACGTCGCTTCCTTATGTACAACTAAAAACAAGGATAAAAATAATAAAACGAGGAGCGAGCGATACTGCAGTGGGGGCGACCGTCGCCTAATTTTCTCTCTTCTTGCTGTTAACATGTATTATTATTGTTGGTGCCTTATCCTCTAGTCATCAAGGGTTTTGAATAATTCTGATGAGTCTCAGCTGCCATACAATTAATTAAAGAATTAACAATTTCTTAACTAACATTATTGTGTATTTTTTACTGCTTACATATGTTTAGCAAATGACAGTGCAAATTCGACACCTTTTTTTTATCCCAACAAGAATTATAATTCGATCAAAAACAATCGCAAGATTTTTAAATTAAAGTTTAATGTTAATATTAAATACATTTTATATTTAGATGACGACCGGAAGTCATCCAGAGTTTATATTTATTGATATCCAAGTAAATAATAATGATAATAATGGCTTTATGCAATAATGCTTGATTATACATCAGTATAAATTACTAGATTTACCGTCATGCAATTTGCGTGTGTTATTATTGCGTCGTTTTATAGACTAACAAGAAAGAAATAAATAAATCGATATCAAAATAGATAATACATAAATTATGAGATTTTATTTCAGTTATAACAAACCCTATAATATAAAGATTTTCGAGTTTACAGGCATTTGAGCAACTTATTTAATAGTGATCAGTTTCATGACATAAAAAAACACTCTACAAGGCATGGCATACTTTTAATAAGATAATTCCATTTGGCTGGTTGCATCTGGAAGGACTCGTATCCGAAGAACTTTCACCTTTCGATTCCTCACTGCATCTCGAAGTCGTCCGACGTACAAATGCTTCTTAATGTGTCGGCAGTCAATGTGAAGCTCTTGCAATCCTGTGGGCGATACAACTCGAATCATGATGCAAGCAAGAAATGAATTACAAATATTTTAGCAAATACCTTTCAGTTTTTGTAGCACTTTAAATGCTTGGACCCAATGAGACACAAGATGAAGCTCGGGCTGATTGAGGACTCGGAGTATCTTCAAGTTCTTAATTTTTCTGGCAAAAGCCACCAGAACGTTATGAATCTTCCAATTCGACTCCATAAAACTGACATCCCCGATAATATCAATCGGACCAAACAAAAATCGATCTCCAAAGCAGAGCGGTGACTCAAATTCCACGAGATTCGGAAAGCTGTCAAATACAGCATGCAAATCTTGAAGTTTTTCAAGCGGATACTCAAACGCTAACATCTTCAGAGAGGTGTGTGGTGCAGCCTTCAGCGAAAATTGTTCCCGGAAGAAGCAGCTCTGATTCAGGTAAAAGATAAAATGATTCGGATCTCGTTTCCGAACTTCTAAAACTTCCAGATTTGGGAGATGGGACACCGTCGTGAAGAGATTTACAGCCTGGCCTTTGATGGAATCTATGCATAAATGCTTCAGGTGAATAAGCGTCACATTTAAGGAGATTTGTCTGGTCATTTGATCCTGGTTGCCCACAATAATTGTCAGAGGAGTATCTTGAGAGCAAGGTTCAAAACGGAGCACTTGAAGGGCCAGATTTGCTTGCAGCACAAGTTTTAAACTGTCCAGGTCAGACTGTTGTTTTCCTAGGACGGAGGCATCCAACTCCAACACTTCTAGCCGTCCGAACTGAATTTGAGCCAACTTGGCAGCCATTCCTGCTCTATCTTGCTCAGTCAGAGGGTCAAAGAAAAGGTCGCGTTCTAATTCATTTTTCAAGGTCCAAGTAAACTCTGTTAGTTTTGATGTAATTCCATTTGCTTGGGACAGTTCTTCCAGAAAATTAACGTTCTTTTGAGACTCTGACGGGTTTCCAAAGTAAGCAATTCTCCATCGAGGTGGTGGAATCTCCTCCAACACGAGCTCAGACAGCTTAGGAGAAGACCTTATCATATCCATTGAAAATTGAGGAAAATAAGGTCCAGTGAGACCAATGATTCCAAGATGACGAAGTTTCGACACTTTCCCTTCTGAGTATTTTGGGTTATAGATTTCTGCCTGCTGAAATATGTGGGGCGACAGCCGTTTCATGACTTCCACCGGAATGGAAATTTCTATCCAGTCGATATTGGGTCCCCACACAGTGACCAGCTTGTAAACCGAGTTGAGAATCCGGGTGTGGTGGCGCAATGAGAAACAAGCTCCAAGATCAATGCCTACATGACTCAGACATTTTCCGAAATCCACAAACAATGATCTTGCCATTCTTAACCTGTTGGAATCTTCAATTGAGCATCCATTGAAAAGGACAAGGTTTTGAGTAGTGGTCAAAATCTTCCTAAAATCCTCGACATGGGTTTCACCCTCCCCTCCGCCCCACGAGATCTCGAATGCCTGCCTTTTGCTCAGTGCTCGACAGGCTTCATAATTCCAAGATTTGCACACGCTTCGCGTCTTCAGCAGCGTCTCTGAGTCCAAATAGGAAAAAAATTGCTCAAGGATCTAAAGCAAAAGAGAAAAGCAGTTATTTATTATTTTTTTAAGCTCCTGAATGCGATAAGCATCCACATATTCGCACATACTAAATGCGACAAGACGAAAACTATCAAGACTAAATCGGGTCCAAACCTCTGGTAGCATCGGAAATCTAGTAGCTTCGGGGTCACTGATTATCCTGCTTCGCAACTTCATCTCAATGGATCAACAAAGATGTAAAAACGTGTTCGAAAAAAGAGGGGACCGTTTTCAAATAGATTGTATTTATTCAAAAAATTATTTTTTTCCTCATTGAATTTCATCAATTTATTTCCTGGCGTATAAGGTCATCATAATTCCTTGACAACGTACGATGATGAAGACCATGTGTAATTAGAAATATTTGCATGATCTATCGTCGCAAATAAATTCTCATCACTCACTACTATAAATATTTTTTGGCTGCTGTGACAAATTTTGAATCCCAACAATAATGCAGCGAATGCATGTTTGCCAACATCACTTCCAAGCTAATAATGACAATATGACTCAAATGTTAAACAAAGTGTACACGTCTGAAAAATGAGTCGAAAATAGAATTGAGTTGCAAGTGTGATAGAATGTCATGAAATCGTAGTAAACTTTCGTTCCAAGAGTATACAATTATTTTTTGTTGGGTCGTCACCCACCATCGGGTCTAGGTATTTGGAGAACGTTATTTTAATATCGGCTAATATTTGAACGAATAAGTATGCATGTCATCATTATGTGTAAATATGTAAATATGTATGTATGTATACTACTGATGTGTGGTCAGCCGTGTTGAATTTATTTTTCCTACAATATGACAACATATTTGACAATATACAATTACTGGACATTCTGCATTGTCTCTTCAAAAACTGTCTTTTATGCAATCAATATTTAAACGGTTCTTATTTAATGTTCGCTTATTTTGGTAATGTTTGCCTTGACTTGGTCACTTCCACCCATCTCATCTTTCACGTAGGTACATCACAGTCGAGATATGTAGATGACTCAATGATTGCTTATCCAGCCAGTCATTCGAAGTGCCAAACTTCAACTCGTCTCTCGTTTTTAATACTTTGGGTGACTAATATAAATGTGTAGTAAAAATACATCGTAACAACTTGCTGGATTTCCATTCTTCCAATCATGTATGCAGAGACTGGCGGATTAAAGATATCGGGATTAAGGATTGAGATTGAGGATTAAATTTTAAAATCTTGGGATTGAGATTGAGGATTAAGGATTAATTTTCAAATTTTGGGATTAAGGATTAGGATTAGGGATTGAATTTAATCTGGGATTGGGATTAATATGGGATTAAATTTTGGGTAGTTTTCTGGGATTGGGAATTAATTTAGTCCTGGATTAATTGTTTGCATTAAATTTCATTATGACAGATTTTTAAATTAATTAAATGAATCTGGACTTTGGAACAAGAAATATGTTTTAACAACATTTCCCATGCAAAATTAGATCGTTTAGTAATAAAATTTTTAACAATTAAATATTTTTTGCACTAAAAATTATATACGGGAAAGATGCTAATTTTACTCTAGGTACTATTTTTAACGAAAAACTTTGACCAGATTTTGGAAGAGCACTGACATTTCTTTATAAGCCCACGTCAATGTTGCATTGTGCATTGAGGATACCACGTTACGAGTAGTTTTGCAAAATGATTTGTAGTATTTTAAATATGTGAAAAAAATGAACGAAATGCAATCAATTTTGGAAAAGGAGCGATCTTAAGAGAAGTTTGGCTTTTCGATTTTTCAGTCATTGTAAATTTAATCCCATTTTAATCCCATTCTAATCCCACTTTAGGATTAAAGTTGACAGAGGGATTGGGGATTAGGGATTAAGGATTAAAATTTTAGAACTTGGGATTAAAGATTGAGATTGAGGATTAATTAATCCCCAATCCTAATCTCAATCCCTAATCCTTAATCCGGGATTGACCAGTCTCTGCATGTATGTTGCGGACGATGAGTACATACAGATACAATCATGTGCATATCATGTGCATATTCTGATGTACAACGTGAAATGAAAACGTACCAGTTGTTAAAACGACTATTTCATATGTCTGGACAAGTACAAAAGTATTCATGCAATTACGATGATGTGTAAATAAAAACAACAAATGGAGTATAACATATTTATAATTGACTTTTTTTTAATGTTTTGTAATTTTACTGTTTGACCTGAATGGCAACAAGCTCATAAATTCGTTTACCATAATTTCAGAATTTTTTTTAACATTATATGGCCATAACTTCATTGTTTTGTTGATAATCATGATTATTTTCAATTGACTGACTGACATGGATTTATACGGATACCTCACAATTACTGCAATAAAGTTCCACAGAGTGCAATGACAATGTAGAAGTTCGAACACATTTCGGAAGGCCTGTAATACACACTAATCAATGTACTAGTTGACAATATTTAAGTCTATGTAATAATATAAACGATATTTCCAGTCTATTCAAGTAACAGTTTATGCGTGTGGTGTCCGTTTGTTGACTATACATCTCAATTCATTAGTCATTAACGAGTAAACAATTTGTATTTTGATAATGATGATTTATGATGATACTGATTACGTATAAAGTAAAAATGATATTTCTATGTTATAGTAATACTCTACATACGGTATACAATGCATATATAACTTTCTTATAGGTATCAATTGACATATGAAATGAGGATTCTAAAAAATATGTACAACTGCCGTCTTTGTCATAAGAAATACAGATACGGGGAGAAGATTATCGTTATTTTAGCTAAATAAATAAATAAGATATTATTGGTAACCCTGTTACTCAGTCCATTTTTAATAGCCCAAATTGCTCAAACAATCAGATCAGGCCATATGTCCACATGTGTAATAAGGTGATGACTGATGCGATGATGACGATGACGGTTGATTTGGATTATCGTTTCTCTGTACTTCACTAGAAGCTGACTCGACGGGCTTAGATTTGTTCATGGACTTGGCCCCAGATGATTAATTTCTCCTGATTTTTGTCTTTTGTGCACATTATTAGTCAGCAATGATCATGGGAGAAACGCTTAGAGAGTCATGACTCCCACTGCTATCCAGAGAGCTGCAGGATTCTGTGGATGACTCCGTTTCCGAGTGACCAGTTCCCTTTAATTTGGACTCAAACTCGACCAACTGTCCCATAAAGTTGAGGTTCTGGAAGAGCAAATAAAATTGTTACATTTTTAATAAGTACATAAATGGATTACTATTGACCCGAATATACCTCAGGTTGAACAGTTTAACTTACCGGTGAAATTATTCTTCGATTTCTCTGAACAAATGCATAGGCTTCTAGCGTGCTCAAGTTGATGTGCTTCATGATGTAGGCAATGGCGATTGTGGGCGATCGGGAGATACCGGCGTGACAGTGTATCAATATTTTTTCTCCCTTCTGGCGAGCTTCCTCTGCAATAAGAAATAAGTAATGAGTATCAACTTCTGTGACTAAAATTAAATAGCAAGTAGAATAAATAAGTCGGAAGGGAAATAGAATTTGGTGGGATTCGTATCATTTGACTGGCAGCAAAAAAAAGTTACGTCACGAGGACAACCGTCCACCCTGCTCAGCTACATATTACATAATGCCATTGGAAGCAAATATTTTGGCAATGGTGAATTTAGCTTTCTTTCTCGGGTCAATTTCAATTATTTTTGTGGAGAAAGTTGCGAGACAAGACAAGTTGGTGATAGTTCAAGTCTGTGTGGGTACAAAACGAGAATTGGTAGACTGCAGGGTTAAATATAAGAGATTAGTACAAAAAAAGTCCCAGTGCTTTTCACTCTCAGTCGTCTATTGTGTGGGCGGGTGAAAGCAAACTGCAGGTTGGGACACACACAAAGAAGACAAATCTTCTCTATAAGACCAGGGTTAATAATAATCTGAATCATATCATTCAAAAACACTCATCCCTAGCGCATTCATGTTGCAGTCAAAATTTCTAGAATTCGAGTTCGGCATTGTCGACATGTGTGCTAAAGCATGACAACTAAATTTCCAACTTACCAATGAAACTGCAGGCGTCTTCAAAGTATGGGGCAAGGTTTTCGCTAAGGTTATCAGACACGGGGATCCATTTTGTTCGGAATTCGGTGGCAAGTACATTCGAGGAGGGAGAAGGAGGAGGAGGAGGAGCAGTAGTCGTAGTGACATCACACTTTGGCTCATTAACTGTTGACGTCGTGGGACTGTTACCACCCGAGCTGTGAGGGTGAGGTGTGTGTGTGGTGACTGAAAGGATGTACCGGATTCCCAACTCTTTCAACAAATTTGGATTCGACGAGTCTCGGGCATTCCCAACATAGAGAAATGGGAGGACTTCACTAAAAAAAGTACAAATTCACGGGTTAATTGGGAGATTTCTACTAAATATTTAGTCGTAATTATGCTCAGCAATCTCGTTGTCATTGTTGTAATACAAGTGCTTTTTTCAGCCTTTTTGCTATATCCAAAAATACATTTCGCAACAGAAATTATACGGAGAAAGCAGTCACGAGAGTAATATTTACCTGGGTGGCTCGTTTTCATATCTATCCACACAGTTGGGTGTTGACATGGTGGCCGAGGGCGAAAGAGGCGGAAGGACTGATAAGGGTCCCGGGAAGAGCAGGGGCGTTGTTGAGGTCGGCATTGGGCTGTGGAGATCCTTGCGATTGCAAGTGTCGCAGAGGTCTGAAATTGTATTTAAAATTGTACTTAGAAATTTTATTTAGACAGAAATATAGAGAATTAAAAAAATAAAAATACGAGACTTACCTTTGTAGTAGCGAGTGAACTCTTTGAAACCACCTGAGAGAAAAACAATGCAAAAAAAGTATTAGACAACGGTTATCATTACGCACAGACAAATATAATTACTAATGAATGAATAATCATGTGCAAAAAGTGTGATTATCTAGTTCTATGATATCTGTGCAGTGAGATTTTATTCCAACCCCACATCAAAACAGGCTATGGCTATGATTTCTAAACTAGATTCTGGGAATAGACGACTAACTGTTCGTCATGAATTGAGTCATCTACTGTTCTTCGAAGGATATTTATTTGACAGAATTTTGTGTTGAAACACAGAACACAAAATAGTGTGGTAAGTCAGTCACACTGGTTTCAGGAACATAAATATTGAGCTGTAAACAAATATTTCCGGCTAAAACCTAGAAACTATTTTATAGTGATTAATCCCATACTCTCAGAATGGGCCGCCATTTATGTACATGAGAATAGATGTTTAAATCTGAACAGGGAGTCCATCTAAATGAATATATACGGTATGCCCAATTGCATATATGTATGCACATATGTGGATGTAAATCCATGCATATTACCAAGCAGACGGAATGTTTGCTATAATTATTAATAAGCAACAACAACATGACAAGTAACACCTCCGAGGTAAAGTGAATACCGTTTCATACGTTCTACTGATGATGATGAAGGATGAGTCACGCCGCTAGACTTCAGAATATGCAATTCAATTTCATTTTATGATCCATCCTCACCGACACCACCACTAGCTTAATGTGCATAAACTTGTATGTACCTATGTACGTACGTACATGTACACTACCTTTGCCACTAGCAAGATTCAATTTAGAGCAGGGAAACAGATGCAGAATGCAGATGTGGTGCTAAAATTTAATTACACGTGCAGATACATAGATCAGCCATAAACCAGACGCACAACCACCGGCTTAATTACAAATTGGAATTCAAAGCAAAGTTGTTATCCACCCACATAAAATGCATATGGGGTTCATCAACAAAATTTGGCCTTTAAGTACCCCTGCAGATTTTAGGAAAGAGGCAGCAACCACATCAGGTTCTCCCTCGTTAAAGCCACAATTTATTGAATTTGAGAGGAGAGAGCCAAATTCTTTACACGTTTAGTTAGTAAATGAGTCACTAAATGAATTTCAAGTCAAACTCTGACCAACAAACAGCATAATCCGGAGATTTTCCTATCCCCTGGATAACTTTATTGCATTAGTTCATGGCCCAAAAGGGTGTACCAGAAAATCTAGTCTGCAAAATGAACCCTCGCATCTCTGGTGAGTAAGCGGAGCATAAATGGACCCTATGGGCTTATAAATTACTTTCTCCCACAAATCTGATCCTTCCAGTTTGCCTACACATGTTCTTTGAGACCATTTCCAATGAAAATGAAGCTGAATGACTGAAGTGGTTTCGATTACAGAAGACAATAATTTATCCGAAACACTGTTTGAGCAATTGTGTGACATGACACCACATCCAACGACTGACTCCAGTTCTGGGATAAGATTACTCAATAATTGATTACGAAAAGAGGAGAATTATTCCATTCGACTGCTTATCTATTAGCTGCAATTTTACATTACCTTGGCTTTAGAGGTATCTGAGCTGTTAGTGACTCACGCAGCTCAAATTACATATCTGTACACACTTCACTCCAGAATTTGTTACGACGAAACCCGATCAACTTCACAGAAACTGATTTTCGGTGGCCCCCTCTCAGCAGTATTAACGAGGAAATTGGTGAGATCACTTGTGAACGAAGGAACAAAGCACTGCTACTGAACCACCATCTAAAGTGGATTTATTCAGGTTTCACTCAATCAATCATTCACCTAAAGCCTGTCACTGTCGACGCAATATCTTTTCCAGAGAGATTTCGCCAATGCAAATAATAAGATTATCACAAAAAGTTTGTTGATCAACAGAAAATGTAAAGTTGTTGTAACGTGCGTTTACTGTTGGTATAAGTGAGTGCAAAAACCACTTCCGCCAACGACAGTTGCCTACACAGTGGTCAAAATAATACTGATGACGATGATGCTGTTTAACTGAGTAATAATGAAATAGCGAGGTACTTTCCATCCAACATGCGGTTGCTATTTAGCTGGGGTGGCCTTTTAGCTGAGTTCATGGAAATGTAGAGTTGCATGCATGACATTGCAAGTACGTTACGCATAAAGAGAAGGGTTACTTCATATTCGTGTGGATTAATCATCACACTAACCCTTTTTTCCTCTGTGTAATGTCGGTTACTACTTGCCACACAACGTCGTGACATATCTGCATCGTGCTTTTAGCAGCTATCTATCTGTGAAAGGGAGGTGGAAGGATGCCTGCTTTATCTGCCTGTATAAACACACAATACCCACCGACTTGCTCTTATTCTTATCTGTCATCTGCTGGTTGGATAAAGTCTTATGGTTTCCATCACATAATGCATTGGGCAAATATGTATCATACATGTATACCATGTATACCACAACCTACGACACCTCATGCAAAGTATCACTTCCCCAGTGTGCAAACGTTGGGTGATGACTAATAATTTTCCCATAGGAGAAGAAGGGTACCCCGTATCATTCTCAACTGTTGAATGAACTTCTCATCCGGGTCTTTACTGGAAGTTGGAAGGGGTAGCATTAAAATATGCTCATTTTAAATGCATACCTGCTGCCCTTACTTCCGTCCGTCCCATACAAGTTATACATACACTTTGTTTCCTAAATCGTTGCCTATCTGATTAGTCATCTAATCCCATCGTGCATAAAGTGCATATATCACCATGGAATATGAATGGACAGGTATTGTATAGTCACTCTTTTCGAGGCACTTTGCGTCACTTGAATAGTCCTTACTCATGCAGAAGTGAGGCAGAGGACAAACACAGGAATTAGTCGAAACTGGGCTAAAATTAACATGCTGATGAAATTCCGTGCTAGAATGACAAATCACTCCCGAAACAGAAAGACGCATTCACTAATCCAAAGTTGCGGAGGTGGGCGAACAAGGCGCAGTTTTACTTAATATAACTTTGTTGTGTTTCTTTCTGTGTTCAGTAATTCATGCACCGATCAACCAATTTTTACCTCAACATGCCATCCCCCATGCAACCTTTGCGCTTGGTTACTCTACTGCTTGGTCACACATGGAACGAAATATGAAAATTGCAAATTTTGTAAGTTGCTAATACTTGGAAAAATGGCTAATGTCAACGTCGTTCGAAAGGTTACACCTTTGAAACTGTTTCATAAGAAACTTGCACACAACATACGTACGTACGTGCATAAATACATATATGCATGGCTAACTTACATAAATAAATTCCCTTTCCCACTATCCATCACATCAAATCACACCCAATTCCTTTATTTAAATTTGGCGTCGCCCATGTCCTCCGGGTCGCCGTTCTCGACCATACGCATATTTAGTATAATTTTACATGCTCATGGACACAACTTGGGTAGGACGAGTTGTTGCTGCTGCTATTAAATCATTCTTAATAGTTCAGGCTCAGGTGCAGTATTTGTGACGGGAGGAATGATTCATTTTCTGATTTTACACTTTTCAACCAGCACGTTCCCTGCTACACAAAGTGAAATGAGCAATAATATATGACCAACGTAAGTCTTGGTCTATTTTTAGTGGTCCTTGTCGTTGCTTAAACTCCTTTCTCCAATTCAATTTTTTTCCTTTTAAGCATGTACAACAACACAATTTGAGCTCGAATCTTGTTTAATATCCGCTTGGCGTGTTTTACAGTCACAATGCTAGTAAAAGGTTAAGGCAAATAGCGGTGTAATAGGCTCGCAATTATTATCAAAATACCAAAGCTGGTATTTTCTAATTCTAAATGGGTAGCTTAGATTGATTGCAAAAAATCTATACGTTCAACCACTTAAATCGTTCGTAACGTATATGCAGCCCTGAAGCATTCGAATTCTACACGGTACGCCCGTTAGGCGTGATATTATAGGCGTCCCAATCCATTATAATGATTATGATCCCACACACTGCGACCACAACATTCCAGAACAAAGTCACTTGAGCGAAGGTTCGCATTATAAATGAAGAAGAGTGAAAATTGGGAGGAAAAAGCGATAAACAAGGGAAAATAATCCACAACCAGCAACCATCTCGGGCGAAAGTAATAAATCCAGTCAACCATGTTTAATCCAGCAGAGCTGAAGGTGTGCGTGGGACGAAGAATTCTGAACATATTGTTATTTAATAAAACAAAATGAGGAGGATAGGAGGACGAGGAGGAGGACTGCATTCGTATGTACTTTATACCACGCCTCCAAGAACGACGAAAGCCATGATCATTACGAAAGATCCAGGCAAGAGAGAAAGCACATTATGCCTTTCGTAGTACATGTGTGTTTCTACTCCCCCCGAATAACCATTAGCAAATACGAGTCGTCGTCGTCGTCGTCGTCTCGTATAATCATTACCAACCAACCAATCCGGCATATCATTATATAAATATCTATGTACATACATATATATACGACGTTCAGACAAAATTTATTTATCATGCGAAATAGTAGTACATACATATTCGCCTTCGCAGGGAGAATAGGTAATTAACAAAATCAGCAACAACTTGTAATAATCATAACGTTGTGTAGCACTACCCAAATTAAATATATGGGTATGTTTAACTAGACATTAAATTTCATAATTATGATTTGAGGAGAAATATGTATATGTAAATATCTACTCGTTTAGATTTGATATGATGACTGACAGTGTGTGCATTAAGTTTTGACATCTTTGCTCTCTATCCTTTTCCTTTCTGGATGGATTACATGATACATGTGTATCATTTATTTGGTACGTTGCAACTTCCACCCACCCACCCACGCAAATCAGAGTGGTTGCTGAGATGCCGGGTGAGTTGTGTGGTGGAGAGACGAGTTTTGGTTGCAACTTTCTCCAGAGACTTAAATAATAGCAAGAATATTCTACCAAGCAATATTCAGGGTAACCAAACAACCTACCACCACCATCCACCAACTAACTAAATGAGTCGTTTCCAGAAAGGAAAGAAAAGTTTGCATCCTGAACAAACTCTAAACAAACTTTCAGTTTTTGTATATACTGTAAATTACAACCTTATCTGAGAATCTGCAAGTTTGCGTTATGCCTCCGTGAAACGAAAACCAACTTTTATCTGTTCATTTCTTATTTGTTCGAGAAAGAAAGAAGTAAATGTTTGCGAGTAGGAATTTAGGAAAGTAGAGCAGTGAAACTATGTGAATGAATAAAGTATGCAACTTTTCAAAAATTCTTTGTAACATGCAAAATTGCAATTCTAGGCTTGGCAGTTAGTTGGCAGTTGGCACAGAGTAGGAGCAATTTATGGAACTGCAGATTGATTTGAACAGGCAGGGAAAGCACATGAGCATAAATGCAAACTCGAGCATGACTTGGCAAAGCGCTTAATGCTCTCCCACTAAAAGGAAGTACAACATAAGAAGAAGCATGACTCCAGGCAGTCTAACTTTATTGTGTGGTTTTTCATCTGGTGGATGCGGCTGCTTCTTGGCAATGTTTCACGTATGCGGAGGATTGATAAAGTGATTCTCACGAATGTCAAACTTAGACAAAGTATCGTCAAAAAGAGCGAGAAAGAGGTTGAACAGTGTTTTGTAGAGCTGATAAGTTTCGCTGTATCCATCCGTTTCAAATCCATTCGTGGGACTGAATGTATGTTTGGTTTTAAAGATTAGCCGAAAGTAATTGTGCAGTCATGTCACTTCCTTTTCCTCACACGCTCTGATAAAAAGTTTGTGTTCAAAGAAGCCACACAACAAACATGGAACAAAATGTGTCAGGCTCTGACCAACAAATCCAGTGAAGAAATCGGATTGGATTGGTCTCCGAGCATTGCATTACGTTATCGACATCCAGAGTAAACCAAGCGGCAGGAGAGACGACGTGGAGCTGAGGAGTGAGTGACTTTGACTCCGAACCAATGTCTGCATTTACACCCACGATCACTTTCCTTCCTGAGCTATATTGATTGATGAGATGATGCTTCGAGCTACCAAGTAAAGCTTTTTAGAATCTCTGGTGGTGGAGGAGGAGGAGGCGGTGTTGCCTCCTCCTCCATTCCCTTCACCATGTCTCACACCAAAACTTTAAGAAACGTTCTCAAAATTCCAATCCTGCTATTCAAAAAATTCCAAATATATTTACGATAAATTTGCGATTTACATATATTCAAATATTTGTGAAAAGTGTTCTCATGCTACATAGTACGAAAATTTTGAAAATCAGTCTCATTGCTAGACTTAAAGGAATCGATTCGAAAACTAGGCCAAGCCAACTTATGCGGTACAGTGGTGACCCATAAAACCAACAACTGCATAGTAAAATGTAATATTTAGCTGGTGTAATGTCTCTGATTTCGTAACTGACCACATGATATTTATTTATACCATACATAAGTATAAAACAGTCAATCCTATGTATGTGGTTAGCTCCTCAGCCCAAGGACTAAGGAGAGAAAGTGGGTGAGGTGAGAACCTGGAAGTAGGTGAGTGTTGGTCAATGGAGAAAGTAGACAGTTCGGGGCTGGCTCGGAGATCAGCGACCCACACATCACGACCACACCACCAACGAGCCACCCCGTACTTGCGTTCATTCATCCTTTTCTCTCTCTCTCTCCTTCTTCGTCCCAGCAACTCTTGTGCTGCCCAACTTTCTCCATTCATTTCCTTCCAACACCACTCGCCTCCTCCTCAACCCACGCAAAATCATCCTTTCTCCAATTCAAATTTGCAACTTTTTATCTCTTCCCTTCCTCTGCTGCGGGTGAGGAGGACGACCTATCTGCTCGACTTTTATTGCTTTGCCCCTGGCTGTGCTGCTGATACTGTGCGGATAAATATACATGCATACATATATGTATCTATCTTGGAACTTTTGCTTTTTGCCATGTACGTACGTAGTATTCCTGCAAACTGACTATGTAGAACTTTCAATTCCCAACTCATTTCTCTTTTTATGCGACCCACCACAATTTTGTACATTGCGTTCTCCTCTAATTGGCAACTTTCCGGAATTTAAACTAACCGATTCGTTCAAGAGGAAATTAAATTAATGAAGTTTGATCCTGCTGGATCCCGTTATCATGCACGCCTGAACACAATCCCACTCCATTCTCACCTCTCCTTCTTCGTCCTCACGACTAATAAAACAAATTCTACCAAGAACCAGGCAAGAATGAGAATAAATTCAATTCAATTTTGGCCCAAGTGGCACAAAACGTGAGTGCGAAGGAGAATTGCTGATGAATCCAAGATATGAATGGAAAGTTACTGGAAGCCTGACTGGTTAGTGGAGCATGCTTGGCTGAATTGTGAATGAACTCTTCTTGGCAACAGCAGCAGCCGCCGCCGTGGTCGTCGTCGTGTAGAACTGCCGTCGTCGTCTTAATATAACTTGGGCCTGAAACTTATGAATGGAGCAGCTTTTCCCTTCTACCTCCGTTTTATCATACGGCTTGCTTGCTCCAGTAGTATCACCTCTTCTCTCTTAAAATAAAATAAATGTAGTGCGATGCAATGAAATGAAATCCAATCCCGAAATTTACGACCTGGTCTTGGAGATACCAGTCAGCGGTGGTTACTTTTGGCATGTCTTCTCCTCCTCCTCCTCCTCTCTCAAGATAAGAGGTTTATACGAGGCTTATAAGATACGCCCGCCTCCGCCTCGCCTCGCTGGTTTTATCACGATTCGTGCCTTTCCTTACTCTACTTCACTTTTATGATAAGTGCTTCTTGTGGGAGACACGTGAAAATCTTGGCATTTCTCGAACAGATTTTTGCTCCAATTATTAGAAGTACGAATGCAACAAAAGTGAATAAAGAATGGATGTTGCAGAGTTGGAAATAATGGGATGCTTTTTAGCAAAACGTGCAATAACGTGATACGTCTCAGCGGTATAGATTTTGTCGACTGGGGACATGTACGCAGTATGTCATCCTCATCTTACATTCTACTTTTGAGATCTCAAACCTTTCCTGTTTCTGTCCATCAATATGTCAGCACCGGCGGAACCACCAACTGGTAGATCCTGATGCTTGAACAAAGTGGATGATGCTGAAAACGAGAGAATTCGAGGGTTTCTTCGTCTTGATCATCGCCGTCACAAATCTTTATGTGACTACCTTCCTCGCTTAATGGAACTTGCTGTAAAAGGAAAGATGATAAAGTAATCTAGTGGAGATCTGTTGAAAAGATGGACGAGATGAAGGAAACCTCTTGAAATTCTGCGCATTCATGTCCTTAAATTCTTGACATATTTCATTAAAATGACTATGGGAGCAGTGAATTCAGTGAATGTCTTCTCCTTCAACGTCAAGTGTCTTTCGCAGCAGTATTTTCATCTCAATCTGAATTCTTGTTGGTCGTGGATAATGGTGGAGGAAATAAAAACTAGTCTCTCTCCTCCCCGACGACAACTTTCTTTTGCAGAAGAGCGAACAGCGAGAGAGACTCCGATTTGAGACTTTATTTATCGATCCACGGAGGCATCTTCTTTTCCGAATAAGCACAAGCTTAAAGTTTTGTATTTACGACGGAACTCTTGAGGTTTCAAGTATTTGTACATCACCAACGTTTGCAAAAATAAACTCTGCAGAACAAGGAAATCAAATGGAGCCTGAAGTACTCAATTCCCCTTATAAACTTGAGATTTTCACTCGGATGAAATTAAACCTGGATGGGTCAAGATCGAATCATAACCAATAACATGACCCCAAAAATGACTTCAAGGCCAGAGATCGAATGCCCTCTGTTATAAATACATGTATTATTTATTCATCTTTCATGGATGTATGTATGAATGCTCTTCTTATGGTTCGTGGCATAATCCTCATGGCTCAAGATGTGTTTGCTTCAAAGGAATCTTTCACAACTTGAATATAATGCGAGACTTGAGTCTGAGCCCACATTTATTGAATTTTGAGAATTTTGTAGTTCAAGATAAACATTGTTGTTATTGAAAGAATATTATATTTGCCCAATTGATCAAACCTTGTCTGCGTCAGGATAAAAAGACCATCATTTTCCCAGACACGGATATACATACATACTTCTAAATACGTGAACATATGCATGAGTTGGATGGTTCTCTCCCCGAGTAATAAATAATATTACGATGGAAAAATCCACTGAAAGATGTACTTATTGATGTCTAGTTATATAAATATCTGTGTAAACAATCCGGGGCTAATGAAGACACCAATGGTTCATTGAGCCGTACATTTATTCATTTACTCATTACTGATGAATAGTAAATCATGGATTGCTACGATGTTGATCAAATGAAGAAAACTGAAGGACAATGTCTTTGCAGGCTAGTTCATAGAGTTTTTATAGTCAAATCCAAGCAAGCTATGAGTATCTCATCTGCAGTAATTAATGCAATGTAAAATTTTCATATGCTTCCCTATTCTATTACTGCACATTGTATGCTAAGTCATATATTATAATTTGATGAGTAGAAGAGTGAAAGTTTAAATTACCTTTTAGGAAAATGGGTTGCCTATTTTCTTGAAGGAGGTGCATCAAGACGAATGAGATGGGAGTTTGCCACCCAGCGTCGACAGTAAGATCGGTGGTTCCGTCGTCATAGATGATGACGTCCCTCCACTTGCCGTGGTGCGAGGCCTTGTTGCCCCCACCACCTCGTCGGATGTTGTTGGTGCTCACAAGGTCCAGAACAGAGCCAGAATTCTGAACGCGCTTCCTGTTAAATCTGTCTGTGCAAGCAATGTGGACAGAACCTAAAATATGACTCTCTGAGTAACAGAGATAACCTCTGCAGTCGAGAAGGAGATAAGGTTGACGGTTCTGTCCTCCTGTTCTCGTGTTGCTTGTCCTTATCTTTCGAGCCAGTTCATCTGCAGTTATGGACTTGACTCGGTCTTTGAGATCTTCAGGTTCACTGATGCTCCGATGTAAGGTGAGACGCAGCTTTTCACGACGGAAATCTGAAGGAAATTCTGTTTCCACCGGGCCAGACATTTTCAGATGTGGTGGTGGTGATGTAATCTGAAAAAAACACAATAATTTAGTCTCATTCGCCAAATTCTACATTTTTAGGGCGAAGGGTAAGAATTTTTATGTTGAGGTAATCATTATTTGATTGTGCATTACATCATGCACTTTGCATACTGCGCGTTTATCTCATGCATAGGCTCATATTTCCAAGTAGTAATTGTAGACGCAAAAGTTTGACAAAAAACTTGTAGGATTGCCCTCTACCATCCACAACCACGTCTGCACTTGCAAATATAAACTTGGTACAAGAATGCATACATAGTGGAGTGGTTTCGTAAATGCAAAATAGAATTGCCTTATTCCTAATCTGTGAATTTTGCAGTGGTGTCATTGTAAATTGTTTTTTGTCTCTTGGACGTCATACATGTGCATATTATATATTCCTATTGTGGTCTTATCATATCGCAGTATCAATCATATCGCCAAAATGAGCATGAAACAGGACTATATATGTAACAAGTATATAATTGCCAGTTAAAAGTGCATCGTACATTTAATTCTTGTAAACTAGCAAATTCATGGCAGACTTTGTGCAATAAAGTTGCAAAAAATATTCTGGCTCTGGATTTTCCTGGATGAAAGTGATCATTTTTTGCTCTAATCCATATATCTGCAATTGGAGATGGAATTTTAGCATGTCTAAACCTTAAAGGTGGTCAAGAATTGGATATTGGATATTCCTAAAACTTCACCGATGATGAGTCACACCTTCTGCTATGTACGTATGTATGTACATATGTACATATGTACATATCATGAAATAAGCCATCTTTAGTGGTGCCTATCAACAACACCAACATATGTAACGACAGAGAACAGTACAGTATTAAGACCTTTTCATGTGATGAAATCCGAATGCTTGGTTTGGGAAGTTCTTGAGCAATATCGCTTCTTTTTCTTCTTGGCCCCTCATGATCATAATTGAAGAAAGGAGGAAGGAACCCTGTCAGGGGTGGTAGGAGCACCCTCTCCTCCTGATTTTGATTTCAGGGAAATATGTACAACACACTTGACAAGCGAACAAACCTGGAGGAGCCAACCAAGGAATTGCCCTCCTGGTTAGAACTACTGCGCCCTATTCCCCAAACTAACAAGTAAGTAAGTATATAGTCTGGTGGGGGAAGAAAGGAGGGGACGGACAAGAAATTCGTCTTTGCAGGATGACTAATAATTTTGGGGGAGCTGCGGAAATATGTTGAAGGAGAGCAAACAAGGCGAATGAAATGAAAGTGCTGCATATTGCATGGACATTGAGACCGTTTGCATGTGACGTCCACAAGGGAGGCGTCGACGACGTAGATTATGAAGTTATTAAACTTTAAAATTGAGCAGAATTCTGTATTTGTCGAGATGGCAAGGAGAACCATAAAGCACAACTGTCGCCACACCAGCACGGCCATCATGAATATGCCGCATGCATATTTAGTAAAACTTGTCCGCCATTTGTTCTCAGCACAAAATATCGAGAGGGTGTTAATAAACGTTGCTCGCTCCTTTCTACCTCTTCACTTTCGTTCCAGGCTGTTGAAATATTGATGGTTTTGCAATATCCTTAAGCTGATGCTGAATGTCGTAAACTTTGGCTTATTTGTTCAGACGTTCGACTTGAGATTGAGGATTGAGATCAAAACAGAGCAATGGAGAAGAAGAGGAGAGTGATTCATCTTCACATAAAAGTGAAGCACATTGCAGCCAATCTCACACCACCACCGCCACACCACACCCGACGATATGGTGGTAACAAAGAACAGAGAGACTGAGAGAGGGGCTGAACTGATCAGAACTTAAAATCAGCTAATTTCCAATGACAAAATCTCACGTAATCCTTTTTCATCCTTCTCACTCTGATGCGACCAAGATGAGAAGGACGAGAAGGTGTTTGAATTCGTGTGGGTCTCAAGAAATTCTGCTGGCTTCACATTCCACTGAAAAGCATTGCACATAAAATATCACCACATGCACATATTCTTCTCGACAGAAAGCCGAGAAGGAATGTAATTAATGGTGATTCCTAATGCCAGAAGGAATTAAGAAAATGAAAATAGCTCCATAATCAATCTTGCACTGTCTCGTCATCATCCCACACACACGGAAACTCGCCAACTCGGCCCAATTAAACGAAATTCAGCGCAAATATTCCAGACTTAACTAATTAAAGTCATTATACGAATCTATAAATATTCCTAAATAAAACTTCCTAGAGCCCTAGAATTCAGTACTCACGAGTCAAAGAGATCAGAAACATAATAAAATGTTGTATAATATTCTGTCATGAAACACAAGGCAGGATTACGAAATTCTGGAATATTAAGCAAACAAACTAAATCACATCCATAAAACCATCCAAGTGGTAAAGTAAACCTTGTTTTACGTATAAATGAGATCAAAGTAAGAATCAAACATATCAGGAAACCGCGTCATTTATCCATCCATTCCTTCACCCTTTTCCATTACTTTCGCTTTCCACTTTGTTCAAAGATTTATCTATTCCAATGACCCGTGGCGATGCCTAATGACGACCGTGGAAGAAAGACTCGTATCAACTTGGTTGATATCTTCACTCATAGTCTTGGGCTAAAGACCGAGACTGTACGCCACGCAGAGTAACACAACGGATAAGAAATGACATCCCCCACCACCAACATAAAGTATAAAGAGTTTGGCTCAAAATCGGATAGTGACACATCCAGAAATCTCCCTTCTCCGCCTCCTCCCACCCTCGGCCAGAGCACAACGAGATATCCTGAGATCTCTCCGTATACACACATTCCTTCTAATTTTGGCTCGTTTGCTTCCATCATGCCCGTACAAGGAAAAACTTTTTTGTTGGACGTACATAAATCGATGTTGGCTGTGATTTTCACGTATTGTCTAAATTTACGACAATGCCACAACACTAAATTTGAACATGCTTTTTAAGGATAAAGTCAACGAGGCTGTTGTATCAAGCCAAAGAGCATGACCATGAGAATAATGATGATGATGATGCCATTGTTGGTCAACAAGTTTGTTATTTGTGTGTGTGCATGCATTATCATTAGCATTCGGGAGTGAAAATTCAATGGGAACCAAGAGAAGATACCCTGCTTCCCCCAGCAGCAGCTCTTTTAGATTATTATGTATGATACGACAGGATAATGATGATTCACCTCAGCACAACCCGGGTTTTAATCTGCCTGGCAAGAGAGAGAGTGAATCGATCCTCCTCTATTTTCACCACTACCAAGACCACCAACCAACCAAGTATAAAAAACAGAATGTGACTGAGTCATAAACATCCTCATTGTATTGATGTGGAGTGCTCATTCACTTTTTCTCCTCAATGACAATGACAATGAGTCCCGATGACTGAAATACACGAACGAACGAACGCACATGTCGCTGCCGAATTTCGATATTTCCATTTCTCAATTGTGATTTGGTGACTGTTGTGAATTGCCCTCTTTTGTGCGTTTGCTTTTCGAGACCTGTCCGTCATTCAGAAGAAGTGAAGTTTTCCCCTCAGACAACTTTCACCCCAAATTCATACTCTGCTGCTGCCTGGTTGTTATCTGGTTCATGGGCTTCTAATACATATTATGTGTTTCGCCTTTGTTGGTGGTAGTGGTGGTGGTGGTGATGATGTATATTCACAGAAAATGATCTCATCCACTCTCAAACTCAAGCTCCAAACTGTCTACTGATAAATCCAACCCTTGAGTTTTCCTTATATCATGAGTACAGAAATTGGCATTAGCTAGCTGAAGGGAAAAGAGAGAGAGAGCAAACATTCGTCATCATCATCAACTCTTCAATCTCAACCAACAAGACTTCTGCAACAAATTATACGAAATGGAATGACGAGCGTCAAAATAAGTATTTCCTTCCAGATAGAGCGATAGAAAGGTATTAGTAGATGTTGTAGAGACCCTGCGGATCGAGTGCAGGGATTTACAACTTGTCAACGACACATTTATATGACCTATAGAGCCAGTGATGATGATGACATGCTTAATTATTTATGGTAACACGGATTCAGTACGGTATTAAAACTTAATACTGGGTTAACGGACTCCTCCTTCGTTGGGTTGGTGGTGTTTCTTTACCATTTCAAGGTTTGAAAGTTGAATGGCATGCTAAAAATTCTGCTGGGTGTGTTTGGCGTCCATGTATCTGTATCATACCAGATCTTGGCAGGAGGAGATGATCTAATCCTTTCATGCGGTGTAACCAACTCTTCTTCTCGTCTTCGTCCCACACATGCATATCAGCTCATTGTGCTATTAAGCCTTTTCGCAATTATTATTTACTCCTCGAGTTAACTCGATTGTGTCGAGGTGAGTTTGAGTGAGTTAGTACAATGAACAGGATTCCAGCAATGGATCATCAGACGAAATAGATTTATGTATAATGATGATGACTGCAGCTGCCATATCATAACTACACACGACGCAATGTAATGGGAGAAAGGAACCAAAAACCATCTCACGTACAATACGCCGGATAAGAGGTAATTGAGAATCTCTCCCCAATTCTCTTTCTCCAAAGTGAATAACAAGCTTTTGTGTGTAGCCGAGAGAGATTACTAACAACGTTCTTTGGTGGTAATGACTTCTTCCGTGTTTCAACCTTGACTCCGATTCGTGTACAACTACCCGAAGCCGGACTCAATATTTTCCCTCTCGATTACTCATCGTCAACCAAGCCGTGAAGCGAGTGCACATAAAAAGAATGATTTACTTGGAATGGGAAAGTCAAAGCTTCAAGTGCTAAAAATAAAATCGCCCAAAAACCTTTCCTAATGGAGCGGCCTAACCCAATCGACCTTTCCCCCAGCCTCTCTCAAATGGAACTTGCCAATAAATCAAATTATATATAAGAGATTAAATGTAATAGGAGAAACCGACGACTATGCCACCCGGCATTAGCCTGTCACTCCTCCACACACTCGCTTCCACTGCGCCCAAAGATATCGAAACCATGCCGAGATTTCCTTTTGTCTCGAAAGCATT